TTGAACTTGGTAACACAAGTCGGGCAAGACACACACACACACACACACACACACACACACACACACACACACACACACACACACACACACACACACACAGATAATCCATGTCTTTCCAGGACATCCTTTATCCAGCTCAGGCCTGAGGGATTTTCCGTTGGCCCAGCCTGGCCACGAGGCCTCCTTTCGGGGTCGTAGATCAGAGCGATGCCCTTCATGACCCTGGAGGTTCTGAACAAGACGCAGCCTGTACAACCTCCTGCCTTTGTTGAGTTATGAGGTCAGAGGGTGAAAGGAGTCGCAGCGGCTGATATAACACAGGATTATCTTGTACAGTGGAGGCGGATAACTTTTTTTTTTCCAGCTACATTGTGGAAAAGGCAAAGCTAGACTATACAGTGTACCAGTAAATAAGAAACATAATTTGGTTTAGATTCGGCATACAAAATTCTTGGTCTAACTTAATGGGACATTTCAGTGAAATGATTTGTAAAAACGTGAAAAAATGACAGTGATAAACACTTTTAAAAAGTCAACAATAGAGAATGAAGCTATCGAACATTTTTTGTGCAAATCCATGAAAGCTAATTGAAGTCACATGCAATGAATAGCTTAAATCCTTCACGTTTTCCTCCCCCACCGCCCTATTCACAGAATATTTCTTTCATTCATGTTCCCTCTGACAATGAATTTGAACTTTAGACTGAGCCAGGAGTGGAGTTCATTAATGAGAGGGGTCTTGGGCTGCAGCGGAGCTGGAACTTGAGCTGCATCCGCCTGATCAACCTGCCACCCATGGTGCTTAAGGGACGCCACAAACAAGGAGGGAAGGCGAACGGACTGGAACCGCTGGAAGTGATGTGACAAGCGTTGGAGTACGTGTCACCTCGTTCTGTGCCCAAAACGTGACGACGAGACATGGTCAACAGAAGGAAAATGACCTTTTCTTGGATCCCTCCATTGGCCACCGCACAATGGGGACCATTTAAAGTAAATGGCCAACTGGGGAGCCAAGTAAAGGTTAGACCGGAAAGAAATGGACGAGGGCACACAAGGATTGGAAAAATTATAAATAAATAAATACAGTGCGAACATGTGGGGAAAAAAAAAAAAAACGTCAGAAGCTAGGACATGTTATCTATTCCAGAATTTCTTGCCAAGGGCCTTTTATCAAAAAAATCATTTCTTGCATTCCTCAATTCCTCAAGACTTTGTTCCCGGGTTAATCCATTAATAGCAAAATACCTTATGACGCTTTTCACTACTATTATTATGAACACTCTCCTATATTTGGCTTCAAATGTGCAATTGATCACTTCATTTTTACCATATAAAAGTTCATCTGTAATACTGTCTTCTTTTACCTTGCAGTAGTTCTTATGCATTTTCTTCTCTTTCCATTCATTCACTCTGCTCTCTCATATTTTTGCATTTCATTATTACTCATTAGGTTCGATTCCATGTTCCCCCCGTGCCTGCATGGGTTTTCTCTGGGTACTCCGGTTTCCTCCCACATTCCAAAAAAATGCATGGCAGGTTAATGGAACACTCAAAATTGTCCCGAGGTGTGAATGTGAGTGCGGATGGTTGTTCATCTCTGTGTGCCCCGCGATTGGCTCGCAACCAGTTCAGGGTGTCCCCGAAGAGAGCTGGCATAGGCTCCAGCACGCCCCGCAACCGTTGTGAGGATAAAGTGGATCAGAAAATGGAAGATGAATGGATGGATAATTAATTACCCATTAGATTATTCCATTGTTTGTCTATATTTACTTGATCTTATTTTTATTTACTACATTCTTTATCATTTTTAAATTGGTATAAGGCTCTGAGCATCCCATTTCTTTTTGAGACAGTTTTTTCCTATTCTTCCATTTGACCAGCAATTGTTGATCATTTGAAGGTTTTCTGATTTCTTGGGTTAACGTAGCCATAACTAGTGGTTCATGTTAATTTCTCACTTCTGTTACTAATGTGACATTGGCGGGGATCTGTGCTTTCTTTGTGCTTGTTATGACTATCTGGTAATTGCAGCCTGTGAGTAATGTTCATGGAATGTCCACTATTGAATCTTTTTTTTTTTTTTTTTTTTTTTACTTCACAGTGAGTTTCCACTTACCACACAGTGGTCAGCCACCATGTATTCAATTATAGAACTACTCAATAGGTTGTCTCAGACACAATGAATTGTTGTGGCATTGAACACGATGTACACATAATATACTGTACCTTAGTACACACCAGGGGAAAAAAAAACATACGTACGCGTCTTTATGATTGTATTGGAATTGTGTTGTGTCAAGGCCATACACAAAAGCAGTGTGAAAACGTGGATTCTACTGTAAGTGCAGAACCTCTTTTAGTAAACCCTGCAGGCCAAAGACAAATGCACAGGCCGTTACTGGAGACTGCAGGTCATGGTTGTATACATTTTATTACAGTGACAAATGCATTATGCTCCTCATATAAAACCACAAAAGGATCGCCTCGATGAAAAGCCTGAATGCTTTGGAGGTTTATAACAATGAGCGTGTCGCAAAATCAACTTGAAAAACATACCGAGGCGGGGAGAGAGGGAAAAGGGAAAGTTGAAAAAAAAAACATGGTGCTGATTCGTTTTATTTGCCCGGGTGGTGCAGCCGCTGGCTAGTTTCATTGTTTAATGCAGAGCAAAGCGGAAACGTTTGCCAAGTGCAGGTCCTGGGGTGGCAAATAAAACTTTATTCTATATTATACGTTCATGTCCAATACATCTAAACCTCAAAACCATTGGTTCTCGGTGCTTGAATTGGGTTTGCTAAACTTAAGAAAGACATAAAACGTCAACTGGAGCATCTGTACGTATGATTTTGTTGGGGTTATGTACAAGAAGTGTTACACTATAGCCACTTCAACTTACAGAACCGTATATGCAAACAGATGAAAACATCCAGTTGGCCGTTTAGGAGGCATGCTTTCCACATTCAGGGTGTACTCCCCCTCCTGCCCAAAGTCAGTTGGCATAGGCTCCAGCTCACTTGCGTATCTGTTGAGGATAAGCTCTCGCGAAAAGATCTATTGATGGATATCGTTCATTATTACGCTGTTTGTTTGAAGATAGAATTCTGTTGTAGTAGGTAGGAGTTGTAACTGTTACAGCAAGTTTTACATTGTCCTCTATTTGCCTGTTTGGGATGAGAGAAAAAAAAAGATTTATAAAGGGAAAAGGCCAGAGTTGGGACCAAAATACAAACCAGGTCCAGTTGAAAAGGGAGTTCAAAATGTAGTTTTCATGATTTTCTTTTTGTTTGTTTTTGGTTGTTTGGGTTTCTTTGTTGAATTCCTTCAGGGAAGTCTGAATCACCGCTCCTGATTGCATGACAGTCAAACAGCGACAAAATCACAGTAAATCAATTAATTATTTGAAGCACTTATTTTTTGTGCTGTCACTTCTCTGTTGTTCCAGCGACTAACAATGTCAAACCTCCTATCAGTTGACGCACATAAAATTTGAACATCTCGGACCATCGGTGTGTAGGGGGGAAATTTGTCAATGTCAAAAATTTTAATTAATACTGGGATCTTTTTGAACAATAAAATTGTGGGGGATTGGGGCACAGGCACAGGGAGAATCAATTTTTATTGGATATAGATGAAGGGACAGATTCGTGATCTCTTAAACCACGGGTGCCCATTACGTCGATCGTGATCAACCAGTAGATCGCGGACTGGTCCCAAGTCAATCGCGAGGGATGTAGGGGAAGAAAAAAAAGAAAAACAACCATTTGTGTGTCTTTGTGCACGTTAGTAATATTTTTTGTGTTAATGTACACTGTACCCTAATCATCATATCAGTCTCATTTTCACAAAAAATATAAAGTAAAATAAAATAAAATAAAGCACGTATATCTTTAACCTACGGTGGCGCGTGACCTGCATCACCGGAAGTTATTAGCGCTCAGCAGTCTGCAATTGCAGCTTGTGATCAGAGCTGTTGCGCTATATCTTTTATGTTATCATTAATCTCATTCAGAGTTTGTTTCGTGGACAATTCACCGAGGGCACGGGCAAAGAATAGGAATCTAGAGGGCCGAGGGAAGCACTTTAAAACGGTACGCGTGAGCTACGTTAGTTAACAGGCTGCAAAAGTGAGTCCTCCGTGTCAGGCCGTTGCTCATCATGGTGTGCGTGTCTATGTGCGTGCACGTGCGCAGTAACGGGTCGATCGCGGGAGCTTGTTTGATTGAAAAGTCGATCTTTGGTCCAAAAAGTTTGGGCATCGCTGTCTTAAACCTTAGGAGACATTTTTTTTTTCATTGGCCTCTACTTTCAGTCACGCCTCATCGGTCTTGACAAGAGGAGTTCAGTGTAGATAAATAAAGTGAAGTTAGTCGCCACCCAACTTGACATCTTATGGCCTTGTCAGAGGGCTGTGATCAACTTTTGTCATCGTTAACACCATCTTATAACAGTTGGTCAATTTTTCAGTATAAGGTTTTCTCTGATTAGTGTAGTATCTATTCACATCTTCGCTAAAGAGACTGAAGAGCGTTAAGCCGAGCCGAAGGGGTGGCTGGAGGACATGGAGCTGATTGATCCTGACAGCTTTGTGAGGCTTTGTGACGACTGAGCAAACTGAGGGACATAATTATATTTGCTTAAGGACATTCTGTGAAAGCAGGTCATTATATGTTTACTCGTACTCTTAGTATGTCAAGTGAATATCGGTGCATGTGACGATGTGAATAGCCATTATTGGCCGCATAGTGGATTGGATTTAAGAGTCATACGTGTATCTACTTAAAAGTAAAACGCCTCGGGACATGGGAAATCAAGCACGGACACACACACGCGTTCACACACGCACACAAACATTTATAGTGTGGAATGTGCATTGATCGTTGTGAAGGTGGGTGCTTCATAAAGTACAGAGCAAGGGGAAAAAAAAACTTGAGATGATAACAAACAAAGTGGAGATAATGAACAAGTGCCAGGATACTTTCATTTATTTTTTTTATTAGCTGTTTTTTTTTTTTTTTTTTGATAAAGGGACAAAATGGGTGTGTGAACAGGATTATGCAGACATCTGTCAGAAAACACAGACAGCGGTTTTCTTAATACAACTGAACAGGTACTCCATATACAGAAATGAATAAAGAGCTTGATTTGTCAAATGACCATTGGCCACAAATACAAAATAAATGATATACTCTGACAAAAACAAAAATATATAAAATAAAATTAAATCAAAACAAGGATCCATCCCATGTCTCTCTTTTGAACAGAGCATATAGGCGATAATAAATAGCAACTCCCATTGTAAAAGATAAAGTTCAAGTTCAAGTTACAACAAACAGCTCTCAGAACAGGAATAGAAAAGGCTGATAACAAAATATTCCGCATTGCCGTTGACAAAAATTCTTAACTTAAGCAGGCTTCTCCACGTCTCCCAGGTTAATTTTAAATATGCTTGGCATATGAACGTGTACCCAATCTAAATGGAAAGCACCATTTTGTATTTGGCAATGAAAAAAAAACAAAAACAAAACGAAATCTGCAAAACGTTGAATTCTTTTTAATATTTATTTGGACACTTTTTTTTTTTTTGTACTGCATACGATGTTTTTTTTTTTTCTCTCTACTTGTTGGAATGTTGTCAGGTAGGGAAAGAGAGACAGAAGCACACAACAGAACAGGCCAATGTCAGCTTGTATTACTGCATACAAGAGTGGCAGCAGGATGGAAGGAGGGTCAGAACCAAAAAAAAAAAACAAAGAAGATATGTACAACGACCTCTGTGGACAGGGAAAAGAGCAGTGGCCATCATATGACCCACAATGCTGCCCAATGCCACATACTTTAGCCGATTTTGTTTTTGTTTTATTGTTTTTTTTTTGTATTAGGTTTTTCCTTTTATCTCTTTAAACATACAAATAATTTGCACTATATTATCCTGCCAAATTAAAAAAATATACCGTGGCAGCTTGGGATTTTTTTTTCCACTACCAAAAAAGGTATGGTACCTTTAGAGAGAACAAGCAACAATTAAAAATACGAGCCTCAATATAAATACTATAGTGCCTACTCTAAGTGAACATTGAATTCAAATACAGTTCTAGAAATACAGAAAAATCAAACATTGATGTGTTGAAGCATAGGAATTGACATGTATGTGCATTTTCCTATATTTTTAAGTTCTTTATATATTCATATATAATCTTATTCATTTCCCCAATGCAAATTGTATTTCAACCTGAAGAGCTGTGAAGAGCCAAGGCAAAATAAAATACAAAACCATCACAGGGTTTTTTTTTTGTTTGTTTGTTTTTTGTTTGTTTTCTTTTCTATTTCATTATTTCATATATACTGTGATCGGAGTCTTGAACATTGCCAAGACGCTGAGGAAAAGAGAAACGACAACAAACTTAACAGTTTCCCCTAAAAGACAGTGAAATATTAGTTCCAAAAAATGTTTATTTCCATACCTAGAATTAAAGGAACATTTATACAAAAATGGGAACAGCAACATTTGAGTGTTTATTGTCTAGCCGACAAAGTCAGAGATTATCCAAGACAGAGGTGGCAAAAATGAAACAATGCAGCTCTTCGCAAAAGTCAACATTGAGGACTTAACAGTTGCCAGTGAGCCCAGAGTCTTTTTTTGAAACGATCTCTGAGTGCTGTACATTCAATGTACAGACCTTGTTGAAAGACTGATTCTTTTTGTTCGCCCAGTAGATACATGGACATGTTGTCCAAAGTGAAATGGCAAAGGGGGTGAAGATCGGCGATTATTAAATTACTGCCAACAGAAAATTTGACTGCTTTTACCAGTGACCAGTTTACCTTTTTCCCCCTTCGGCGTAAACTTTTCAACTTAGAATTTGAAACAGTGCACTTCACGACTGTAAACTGACAATGTAGCATCGAGACTCAAGTCGGACCGCTACTGCAAATGCGAGAGAGAGATGATGGTACTTAGGTTGAATGACAAGTGCTTGACTCGAAAGAGCTTAAAAAAACGATCTCTCCTCATGGCGTTCAAAGTAACTATGCGTGCTGATTAAAATGATCACATTTCACTCTTTTTAAGAGCCGGTCTGTACTGATGGATTTTCATTTTGCAGTTCATTTTGCTGGACTCGTTGTTACAGACCCTGTTTTGAAGAATTGAAACAACGCCTCTAATCTCCATCACGCGTACTAAATTTGTTGTACCTTTCTCTCTGTCTCGCTTCGAGATAGTTTCAGTGCTCTCCTGTCTCTTTTGTAGGTCGCCTATGACTGAACGTGTCGTTCAACACACCACGAATGAAAGCAGCGTTGCAGGTTTGTGCTAACTCAGACAAATATTACGGGTATCCTTCAAATTCAGGATTGTACATTACAGATTCCCATTTCGGACTCTTGAAAAGAACTCCTTATCAGAAACAGAACAACACCTATTCCGATATCCGCAACACTGGTCGTGACCACGCTCCTTATGAAATCCACGTACTGAAGCTAAGCCCATTGAACAAGTACCCGATAGCTAAATGGTCATTAACTAGAAAGTGAATCTTTGATTATGAGGTGTCACAGTCCACTGGGGCAGGCAGGTGCTTGATGCAAGGACCTTTTCTCTGTGGTTTCGACAGCTTAGTGTGACCCCCAAATAAATGTATTCCAGATAAGATTATGGCCAATGTAGTCTTAAAATATCAAAGGCACTCTTTCTTACTTTACCAAATGATAGTACAATTTGAAGTCTTTGCACACCCTTGTGTTCTTGTAATTTGAAAACCATTGCTATTTATTTACTCATCGAACTTATGAAGTGTTTTTTTTTTCTTTTTAAACCCTGTGTGAACATGGCATCTTTTAGAAAGATCCGGATAAGTGCATTTCCAGGGGTTCCAGAAGTGGGTCATTTTCCATGTAACAACACAAAACTGTACATGATATGTGTTACAGGGTATATGCAGCATGAGTATACTGTATCTTTCTTGTCTTTTCTCTTTTTGAAGAATTAAAAAGAAAAAAACATAACAAGAGAAAAACAGCAACACATTTACTAAACAAGTAGCCAACCAGGGACAAATTCTTTTCTTTTTTTTTTTCCATTTCTTTTGTTTTTTTTTTTAATCATTTTGTTTTGTTTTTGATTAACAAAAACATACCATGCATGCTGACAAATTCTTAGAAATGAAAACGGAAAACTCCCAAAATAAAATAGTACACAACATGTAATTTATTGCACAAGAAAAAGGCTCGAAGTTTTGCCTCAATGCAAGAGTATTGCCCCGATACAGATCATGCATTCAATGGGTAATGAACACGGGGTGTGCTGGTGCAGAGCACATGGTCTTAACTTTCCACCAGCCTGGTGACAGTGGAGTTTTGGGGCTGGGGCAAAAACTGCAAGAGTCTTGGAATAAACAGGGAGCTAATGGCAGACAGCTGCAAGGGAAAAGGTCCCATAGTTCGGCCTTCTACTCTGACTTTATTTCGGTACTCAAAGGACGGTCACTGTGCCATTTTTTCATGTGTTTCTCCAAGGTGCTATAGACACTGAAGGGCATCTGACAGATTTCACACTTGTACACGTCCTTGCCCACCTGACCATGGGTCTTCATGTGGCGAGTAAGTTTGGAGCTCTGGGCACAGGCGTAATTGCACAGCTCACACTTGTATGGCCTTTCCCCCGTATGGCTGCGCCGGTGCACAGTCAGATTGCTGCAGTTCTTGAATACCTTGCCGCAGTACTCACAAGTGTCACTCCTTCGGCCGTCCTTGGAGCTGGGCCGCCCAGGGCCCCCGAGATGCGGTGTGCTGCCCCCGCTTCCCGTACCACTGCGACCTGACATCCCGCCATCGAGTTCCCCCGGAGGAGTGGAGAATCGCAGACTCCCGTTCTCTGAGGAATGCTCGGATGAAGAGGCGAAGGGCGATTGTCTGGAGTCCCCAAAGTTCAGAAAAGGATCCTTGAGCTGTCGAGAAGCCGCGTAGCCAGCGAGCCACTGCGAATAGACGTTTTCCGTGTTCGGGATTGTGGGTGTGGGCAGATCAAATTCTTTTTCCAGCTTGATGCGCTTGGAAAAAGGACTGAGTGGACTTGGGCTACCCAAGAGCAGTTTTTTAGAAAGGCAGGCAGAGGCAGATTCGTTAGGGGATGCTCCGCGTCCGTTGACAGTTGAGAGCGAGCCCTCCTCGCCGCGATTTGTTTCCTGCACTGAGTTAGAATCGCACATCTCCCGGTTTTGTGGATGTCCTCTGTTCAGGTGGTGGTGGAGGTGGTTCTCCTGGGCAATTGCGTTCCTTTTGTGTGCATTGAGGGCTTCGCTGAAATGCTGCATGCTGGCGGCAAGGCCCATTCCCTGCATTACCTCGGGGAGAGAGCGTGGAATGGAGCCCTCATCAGTCATCCCTCCCAGTCGGGTTCCGATACCTCCATTGTTTTCATGCTGACGTGTGGCCTCAAGATTCAAGCCAAAGTGGTAACTGTTGTTTCGTCGAGCAGCCCTCTCCCCATTCTGTGCTTCCTCCTCCTCTGCTTCTTCTTCCTCTTCCTCCTCCTCCTCCTCCTCTTCCTCCTCTTCTTCCTCTTCCTCCTCTTCCTCCTCTCCATTTTCACGCAGCATTCTGTTGTTTTCACATTTCAGCTTGGCCACCACCGATTTAAGGGCATTGCTGGCACTGCCCATGTGTTCACTTGTGCCCGGTTCTGGAGAGGAGGCAGTGGAAAGTCCATCTTCTGACTTGCCTGTGTTTGGTGAGGAGGATTTGTGCATGTGAGTTTTCATATGGCGCTTCAATTTACTGGCCTGTGTGCAAGCATGGTCACACAAATGACACTTGTACGGCTTTTCTCCTGTGTGGCTGCGCCGGTGCACGATTAGATTGCTCTGAAACTTGAACGCTTTGCCACAAAACTCGCAACACTTGGATTTCATCGGCGTGTTGGACGAGGGTGTTGCCCCTGCGGAGGGGAGAGGAGTGGGAGGCGTGGTCTGAGAGCCCACGGGGGACTGCATGGAGCCTGGCAGAGGCGGTGGGGTGGCAAGATATGGAGTTTTGTTGCCACCTCCACCTCCCGTGCCTATGCTTCCCACACTTGTCTGGAATGGCTGGAGTAAGCGCTGCATGGGGCCGGGCCGACTGGGGGATAGAGGGGGAGTGGACCCTGAGGTGTTACCCGCGAGCTCCCGTAGCCGCCGTGAGAAGTCCATTGTTGGAGGTGGCTCCATGGGAAGAGGAGGATTGAGGCGCAGCACCCTGTCAAAGGCACTCGGGTGGTGGGCTGCCAGCGCCAGTTCCTCTGGGCTCAGGTGGTGGGGGTCCAGGTGGTTCCTTGGAGGGGGACTGAAGATAGGCGGTGTGGGAGGAAAACGCTGATGATGGAGCCCACCAGGAACCCCAAGTGTACTCCCTGCTCCCACACTGTCCCTTCCCCCTGAGCCTGAGCCTGGGATTCGGAGGAGATTGAAAGGGCTTGCATCGGGAGGCAGATGGAGGCCGTGAAGGGGAGGATGAGAAGGGCAATCTGCGCCCCCACCCATGGAGGAAGGCCCACCCATTCGTGGGGTGAGAGGACTGCCATGTTCACTTTCTAGGTAGATGCGGAAACCATGGGAGTTCTGGGCGTGCTGCAGCAGGAACCAGGCACTGCCATATGACTGCTTGCAAGTAGTGCACGTGTAGGTTGTTGGTTCTTCTTTGCCTGCAATGACATAGAAATAGAAATAGCTTAGGGGACAGGTTAAGAGTCATAGGTTCAATAAAAATATGTTTACATACGCATGGACCCCGTAGCAAAAACCTCAGTTCTGGTCATCATTCACTATCAAAGCTATGAATGTACAGAGACTATGATTATTGTGTCCAGAATAATAGGCATGAATGACGAAGACTTGGATGAACCCATCACTTTTTGGAACCTTAGGCCTAAATGTTACAGCTATTCAGAGCAGTTGGCACATGGTGTTGCAGACTTTGCGACTACAACAGTACCTCTTATTGAGGTCATGCCCCACATGAGTTACATGTGAGAATAGGGTGTGCATGTTTTTTTCAGTGTGTGTTGTTCTTCTCAGACTTTTCTGGAACAAAATGTTTCCCTTTGGACTAACTGTTAGTCCTCTCATGTCAGCAGCAGAATAAAGAAAGCGCTATACTGACAGGCCACCTCTTTCGGCTTCCCATTGAGCCACCAAAACAGAGTGCTACTCACAAACACTGACAACAATTACACAAACATTTGCACCAGAAAAAAAACAAAGTAACATTATTCATGAAATTAATCAAATGCTCAGGACTGTGCATGATGCCACCCAAATGAAATATTTCAGATCACAAACAATAATTTCACTATATAGTGAATTGGTATGGAACACAGTTGTGTTCGGTTTTCAGATTGACGCAAGTACGAATATTGCACACTACAGCTAAACGTTTTTCCTCTATATCAGGGGTCACCAACACCAGGAAGCCCTCGAGGACTACTTGAGTAGCCCGGAGGCCTATTCCAAAAATAGCTCACCAGTGATGAGACACTGTGACTCTCCAGGAACATTGTAGAAGCGATCATGTGAACACTGGCAGATATTTATCATCAAGTGTGGCCAATTGATATTTATCTGTTTCATAATTATTGTGAGAAAACGCTAACGTGATCGGTGTCTTCTCAGAAATGAATATCATTAATCATTAGTTACAACATATGAAGGTAGTTTGAGCAAATTTATTTCAAAAGTGCATCCTATCAAACTCGTAGCCCTTCGCATTCATCAGTGGTCAAAGAGGAGCCTTTAGTTTCAACAAGGTCGGTGACCCCTGCTCTATATTCTCCATTGTATTTTCCCACGCAGTGATCTTTGTGCACATGTTTATACTGTATGTGAATAGATTCAAATATTGTACAACAATTTATGCATTTCAGTACAGAACACATAAGAATATAAATGTGGCAAAGCCAATTCTAGTCCAATTCCTGCACTCAAAATCATTTTAATTGTTCTTCATGTAATATTCAGTTTTCTCGAGAGTGAATTGTGGGTTTTCGTTCACTGTCAACTGTAATTATGGAAATTTACTGCATACTGTACATTTTCAAATTGGACTGAATTATTGAATGAAATCACGTTTTTCACAATGATGCAGTGTAATGTATAGTGATGTGCCTGAATTGCACTTTACTTACTCACATGCAAAGAAACTACGTAATCCATTCAGATGGATGGTTGACTGCAATGTACTGTCCAGCAGTAGAAATTTGTTTGACAAAGATTTAAAAAAAAAAAAAAAAAAAGCCCAGGCACTGCCATTTGTATGGTCTAATTATAATGTCATGTGACTGACCAGCAATCTACAAAGGTGAATTCTTCTGAGTCAACCAGAAGTCAAAATTTGGATCTCAATTGTGAAATGTACTGCAAATTATTCCTAAATACTATACAATCTCATATTACATTTTATGTCTGTGGCTTCCAACCTTTATTGAGTCAAGGCACTTATTTTACATATGGAAAAAAATACTTGGTGCAAAAAGTATTGCGACATAAATAATGGTGATCTTTTTTGATTTTTGTTTTTAATTTACTCTGTTATTTGAACAAAAACCTATTATTCTGAATGGCAACAAATGCATGCAGCTGGTACCTTCTGCCATCTAGTGGAAAAACCTTCAGTAGTTCTGCCTGTCACTATATGTTGCTGGAATAGATAGATGAACCAAGATTTGGAACAAATAATAATTAAGTGAAATTGGTTTGGCACACCTGAAGATCTCTTACAAAAAACGACTACCGGCATACCCTGGCTCAATGGTTGGGAATGAGTGCTTTTTGTCACATTCAGTTACTGATACTTGGCACACTTTGTAAGAAACTGCTTAGACAACCTGGTAATGACGGGCTACTCGACATTAACATTCTGCCAGTAAGCTTATTTTACAGACACAAAGACTACAAATGCAACTGCAAAGTCGACATGTATGGATGACCATAGCATACAATGATGAGGAGAAATTGTAGAATAAAATGTCCAATTTTGTATCCAAAGAATCATATTCGTTCATTTTGTTTGAGCGGAGTGCATCTCCTTTTCCTTCTCTCTCCTTTCTAACACGCAGTTGTCCCACGTGACCAGAACAGGAGCTGCTAAATTATGGATCATTAAAATTGGCACAAATTACCACTAATGTGGCCACCTGCATCAAATTTAACCTCTGAATATCATTTGCATTATCAAGACTAGGGATGCTTAATTTTATTCAATCATTCATTTTTCCTCTTGATAAACTGGTCAGTTCATTCATTCATTTCGACTGTTCTATTTTTGTGATGCGGGAATTGGATAATGTGTCGGTATGACTCCTGCGGGTTAGATTTGGTGCGATTTTCAGCCACGTAAGTGTTACTGCCCCTTCCCACAAAATTAAAAACAATCTGGCCCCACACCATTAAACAAACAGATTTTCTGCATTTAAAATGCTATATTTGCCCTAAACCATTAAACCCATAACATCCATTAATAATAACAAAAAAGAAAAGTAAATTAAGCATCAGAGCCATATATTTTTTTTTGACTGATTACAGGGCAATACAGGGCATACAAAATTCAGAGTGTGTGTGCAGTGCCGCAGATGCGTGAGAACACAGCAATGCTCAAAAAATATATATTTCCAATATGTTAACAAAATATACAAAAAAAAAAACATTAATTCAACAAAGACTTTGGTACTCTCTCGCCAGTATGTTCCTTATACAATGCTAAGACTTGTCCATGCACTGAGTGAAACTGTGAGGTTAATGGATTTTAGAGTAGGCGACTGCTCCACGCTGTCTCTCTGTAATCTACTCCCATCAACCACTTCATTAGGGAAACTCTGTGCCACTCTGAGGTAGAAAAAAAATAAGCGAGAAAGTGGAATGGGGAGAGAAAGATGAAGGCAAGGGTATCGAGGTGAGGAAAGGTGAAGTAATCCTTTCATTTAAAATGAAAACAGAGACGGCAAACATGCTGTAACAAGTTAGCTGGAGTACATCGGGGTATATTAGTGGCGTAAGAGGAAGGGGAGGGAAGATGTGGATGGGGATGATAGTGTGGGATTCTTTACACGAAGCTAAATGTCAAAGCTCCTGGTGAGACTCTGAGGAACAGACACTCTCAGTTTCAGAAATGTCCTAACACTCAATACCAGCCATGCTACAGTGACCGGCTCAGGCATTACATTCTATTAAACCAAGGGCATTGCCTGGACACTTGAGTGGGGCTGCATGGGAGAGGGAGGAACAGGGAGAGATTAACGTAGCTTCGCTTGCGTTACCCCCTCCTGTGTCTGTCTGTGTGTGCTTGAGGTTGTGTGTGCACGTGTGTGTCTCTCTGTGAGCGCGAGAGAAAGACTTGAGCAGAAACAATTTTGAACGCTTCAAAACGAGAATACACGTTCAGAAAATGGAGGGCTAATAACAAAAGTGATACTGTATCTGCTGATTCGTACAATTTTTCAGTGATTTTACGTTCTACCACGAAATTGATGTATTCAGAATACATTCTTCCACCTTTATCCCTTTGAAAGTTGCAGTGAAATGCGGGAATCAAAATTTCTGTATTCACAAGGTGATCAAGCTAAAGCAGTTCAGCAAAATCAATGACTTTCCATACAGTGACGTGCAGTCAGGGGAGGCAGGTGAGGCTGTGCCTCCCCTGTCATCATGAGACGAAAAAGAAACGAAGTATAAGTATTCATATTTGTCCTCTCAACTATGATTTTGGTGTGGTTCTTCATGTATTTTGACCATTTTTAAAGTAGAAATCGCAGAAAATTCTCTATTTCCTGCTTAAATAAACAGAGTCTCCTTCAGAGACAAGAGGTAAGGCATGGACAGCCAATATGACATAAATCAACAGGGAAAATGCTTGCCTTGAGGCAGCCAGTACCTCTGCCTCAAGTAAGGTGGCGATAGTGAGCAGCCTGATAGCCTACCACCAGCCGGGTCACGGCGAACTCTAACCCGTGCGCAAAAAGTAAACAAGAAGTGTGCTGTGCGACTCCGCAAGCTGTCATTTCTCACCCTAAAAATGCAGGATTTAATTTCCAAACTAAGACATTTTACAAAGCTGGATTCAAACAAAGCAGGACATCATAAATACTGGGAGACAGACACCAGGTTTGCTTCAAACAACGGGAATCGGGAAAAGACGTTAAACGACTCGTTCTTTTTAAACGCCATGGTATACACGTAAAGACTGGCTTTGTGGCTGTGCTATAAAAAAAACGTATTTTCTGCATTCCCTGCCTTTCATTCTCAACGAGTGTGACTGTGTGGACCCATACGGGATTTTGTTACTTGAAAAACTTGCCAAGAAGCCTTGACAAACATAAACGATCAGTGCCTCCGCAACACCAACCCTCACTGCACATCACTTTTTCCGTATGAGTCCACATCAACTGCAAACTACACCCACAATAATTAACATATTTTTATTCCATTAATACCTGAATGACAGTTCCAGTCCCCATTGATCACTTGATTGTTATTTGTGTACTTCAAAATGCCAAAATAATTATTTATAATAATAAATAAATGAAGAAAACCAGTCTTTCATACTTTCAGATTATCTTTGGAATGTCGCACAGACTGTCTGTTCTCCGAACCGACTGATCTTCATCCAGTCATTCCGTCCTATGAATTAGCTGGATTGTCATCACTAAATCTT